ATCAGGGAAATTGAAAATGTAACTGAAAGTTTACTGATGAAGAAAAGCCTAGGTCCTGATGGATTCACTGCTGAAGTTTACAAGACATTTAGAGAAGAACTACTGCCACTACTCTTTAAACTTTTCGGTGAAATTGAAAGGGAAGCAATACTTCCAAATTCATTCCTGGAAGCAAGTGTTACTTTGATTCCCAAATCAGGGAAAGACCTAACTAAAAAGAGAACTACAGGTCATTCTCCTTAATGAACATAAATGCAAAAATCCTCAATAAGATACTGGCAAACAGAATACAGAGGGTCATCAAGAAGACCATATACCCTGACCAAGTTGTATTTATTCCAGGGATGCAAGGATGGTTCAACACGCATAAACCAATAAATGTAATATACTGTATTAACAGAGTCAAGGACAAAAACCATATGATCCTCTTGATAGATGCAGAAAGAGCATTTGACAAAATTCAACACCCATTCATGATAAAAACCCTGCAAAAAATTGGAATAGATGTTCTATATCTCAACTTGATAAAGGCTATCTATGAGAAACCAACAGCCAACATCATATTAAATGGCCCAGAACTGAAATCCTTCAAGTTAAAATCAGGAACAAGACAAGGATGCCCACTATCACCACTTCTGTTCAATATAGTTCTGGAAACATTAGCCACAGCATTTAGACAAGAGAAAGAAATCAAAGTAATAAAGATAGGAAAGGAAGAAGTTAAACTATCATTATTTGCTGATGATATGATACTCTATATTGAAGACCCAAAAAACTCCACCAAAAGACTTCTATACTTAATGGACACTTTCAGCAGAGTAGCTGGATACAAGGTCAACACTCAAAAATCAATAGCCTTCTTGTACACAAATCACAGACTTACTAAGAGAGAAATGGGGAAACAGTTCCTTTCACAAAAGCATCTCCCAAAAATGAAGTATCTAGGAATCAATCTAATGAAAGAAGCAAAAGGAAGAAACTTTTATCTAAATCTTTTTTTGAGAAGAACGTGTCTATAGATGTCTGTTATGTGTCACTGTACAGTAGTTGAGCATCTTTAAGTGTTGTAAGTCTTGAAAAAATTTATGCATTTTTTGATTGGCTATGTTGGTTTGGTGTGTGTGTGTATTATATATAATATAATATAATATAATATATAATATATATATATTACCAGTACCTGGTGCACAAGTAAAGGAGAGTCAGATATTTGAGTTTAAAAGTTTAGCATTACAGATAATTGTAGTCTGGAAGTGACCAATGTGATGATTTTAGTTTTGTATCTTTGAAGATCTGTAAATTTGGGATATATAAATGTGTTTAGCACACTATAAAGTCAGTCATAATGGATGTTATAAACTAGGTTCAAGCTGCTCAAGAAGGCATCTTTATCTTGTGTTTTGTTATTGAGTAGTTTAGTTGTCTCTGCTAGTCATGCAGTCATGTTTAATATTAGTCTCAAAAAGAAGACACATCCTTTGTCTGAAAGCATCAATTAAATTGGAGAGGCTAGCTGAGAACTGGGGAGCAGTAGTTGATGAGAGTCAGGGCCATAATCCTTAAATCTTCTTTGAATAACACAGAACTTTTGGAAGTAGTTTTATCTTAATTAAACCAACAAGCATACATACATATTTCTATAAACTGTATCCTCCACAAACATCCTCGACATGGTTGAGCCTTTCTTCTCTTGCTATTAGTTCCTTTCTCTTTCCAATAGGCAATAATTTCATCATAGAAAATCTTTTCATATCAAAGCACATCTCTTACACTTAAAACTTTTTGCTATATGCTTTTTTCTGTCCTTTGTCTTACTATTTTTTAATAACAGATTTGGCTATAGTCATGTGTATTCCCTATTTGATATATTGTAAATTTGGTTGCCCTCAAGACTCTTTTGGTGGCCAGTAAATATTCTATAGTAACCTTGTCTGTACTAAAATAGCCCAAGAACAGACTGACCCATAATTGCAATTTTAAAAGTTACAAAGCACAAAATATGTTTTAAGCATGTTAATTAAACAAAAATACCAGCAAATTGAAAGTTAAAAGCAAATTCATCAATTAGCTAAGATTTACGACAGTGGGCTCTTGTAAACTCAGAAAATGGAATTTATCTTGGACAAAGTTTCAGGAAGAATTTCTTTTTCTTACCTTTGTTTTATATAACTTAGAATGTCTGTTTGCTATTTTGGTTGGTTGGTTTTCTGTCATCTCCAGTGGAGGTTTTATGTGTACTCTGGGAACAGCTTTATACCTTTAGGAGGCAGTATTTATAGTCTTAATTGTTTTGGCTTGTTCAAGAGTTTATTTGCCCACCACACGTTTCTGTTCTGTCACTTCTGTGTGGGTTTTGCTGTCCTTCACAACAACATTCTCAAGTGTTCTATGGCTTCTGCGTGGAGACAAAAAGTCCTGGATAAAGCAGGCTACCAGAAAATGGGGTGCAACGCATCTTCTTCTTCATCAGGACCCTTTACCACACAGGCAGAGAATTTCCTAGGCGAGCCCCTGATTGCAAAAGAAGTGAATTTACTTGCTTAGATCCAAATTGGACTCCCAAGGCAGTGAAAGTGAAGCTTTGACTTGCACTCTTGCGAGAGGTGATGATAAGCACACCACAGTAAAGAAACTATGTTTGTTTCTTTTTAGCTCATAAGAGTCCTCCCATTATAGGATTTTTGCTTTCATTTTTATGTTTATCTCTGGAGTTTTTAAATGTAACCAATGAGAAACTTCAGTTATTGCATGTAGACAACAATAGGCAATGTGTTTATAAAATCAATTTTGTTGATATGGAGCATTTGAAACTCCTCAGACAAAGGATTAATAATCTAGAATATATAGAAAACTCAAAAATTAGATCTCCATAAATTTAAAGACCCAGTTTAAAAAATGGGCATTTGAAATGAATAGATACGTCTTGGATTAAGAAATACAAGTAGCCAATAAATACTTGAAAAAAATGTTCAACATTGCTAGGCATTTGAGAATCTCACTCCAGAAAGAATAGTTACCATTAAAAAAAAAAAAAGCTAGCAAGAATGTGGGGAGCACTTCATTGTTCCTGGGACTGTAAACTGATATAAGTACTGTGGAAATCAGTATGGACTGTCTTCAAAAAACTAAATTCCATTTGACCCAGCTCTTCCCCTTTTAGGTATCTTGCCAAAATAGTTACTGATATCATACCACAGTGATGTATGCTTATCCATGTTTATAGCAGTGCAATTAATAATAGCTAATTTGGAAACAGCCTCTATATCCATCATCGGATAAATGGATAAAAATGTGATATTTATACACTGTGGAGTATTATGACATAAAAAGAATAAACTCCAATCATTTGTACTAAAATGGATGTTCATTGAGACCATAATGTTAAGTGAACTAAATCAGACACACAAGCTTCAGTATCTCATGGCTTCTTTTAAATGAAAATAAAGTGTGTGTGTGAGTGTGTGTATGTGTGTGTGTATACATATATATATATATATATCTCATGAAATAAAAGTGGAAAAAATAAAAACCATACAGGTTTTGTAATCCAGTGCAGAGAATGTATATAAAATTATACCATGAATTAGAACATGTCTTACATATTTTATATTTTCTTTGTCCTATTATTCTGATTTTCAATATTTATGATAATTAACTTTATAAGATATTATATGATAAATGAATTTGATGCTATAAAAACAAAAGGGGGTGTGGGGGAGAAGGGAACTGAAATGTGTGATGTGTGATGTATATCTTCCAATCCCCTACAGTCAATGTAATCGTTATGTACTGCAAACATGTAATAATAAAAGTAAAAAAATCAGCCTCTGAAAATAATTGTTCCAAGAGATCTTTTTTTTTTTAATTTTATTGAGTTTATTGGTACATTTTAGGGGTACAGTACAGTTACATTCATTGTTGGGATAATGTACCTCTACATGGCAAGTCTTGATTCTCATTTTTTCCCCTTACCTCTGCCCTCCCTTTACCCCCTCCTCCCCTCCCCATCTACACTTTATTTTCATCTTTTCATTCTCTCACATTTTTTTCTTTTCCCTTTTTGTTCTTCCCCTACGCATCACACCTTCCCTACACCTTTAGCTCCTTTCTTCAAATTTCTAAATGTCAGTAATAAGAGATCTTTTTTTAAAATTTAATTTATTGGTACATTCTAGGTAGACCGTACAGTTACATTCATTACAAGAGATCTTTTTCTTTGGCATCCTTGAATGTGTAATTTTTAAAAATTTATTTTAGTGTCTGAATAACACAGGAATATTTTGTTCTTAGAGCCAATAATTTTCCTGCTTTCTTAATTTGCATCATGTGATATATTGAAAACAAAAATTACAAATGTCTTTAAGCATGAAACCAGTAAAAAACTGGAAAAGTCAGGAGCAAAGGATTTATAATGGAAGGAAATTATTTCTACGAATAATGTAAATAGAAATAGTATTTCGAGATACAGTCTACATCACCTAGTTGACTAAACCTTATTCTTACCCTCCACTGTTTTTATCAGCTTCTAATTTACCATATCATTCATTGTGTTTATTACCTGTCTAATCTCCACTAGTATGTCAATTTCATGATAGTAGGAATATTTATTTTGTTCACTATTGTACCCTAAGGACTGAGACCAGGGTATTATTCAAATTAGGTGTTTGATTCCTTGTGGATTGAATGAGTACCATGATAAATCATACTGCACCACCCCAATTTTTGTAATTCTTACATTGTTGTAGTATTATATAAAGATATCATTCCTGGTAGTTATTTTGTGGCTGCATTCATTAACAGATAATGTTACTCTGCCATCCAGTAAGAAAAGAGAAATTTAGAAGATATATATTATGAAATATGATGTAATTTAGAATGTTTTTATACTTAATATTTTTAGAGGAAACAGTAATGTTCCTCACATGCCTCAGAATTTATCAACAAATGGAAGTTGGGAACCTTTTAGATTAAAAAGTTCTTTGTTGTTATATCTTTCTCAGATAGGAAAGCTGACCACCATGCCCATGGGTATGATATATGCATCTGTAAGTGTACATATGGCCAAAGAAGAGGAATCCAAAAAGCAGCTAGTGAGACCAGAGCAGGTAATTTGTTTATAAAAGTTTATGAACTTTGCACAATGTAAAGATAATGTAAAAGCTGTGTTATTTTGTGTTTTAATGTAGCTGTCTCTATTAAAATATTTTTGAAGTCTCTTAGATACATTTTAATAAGTTAAAAGAAATAGTTATACTCCAAAATAAAATTCTAACTTCAGTGAAGAGCAATTGCAATTTTTCTTAATGAATAATCAGTAAGTAGTACAAGATATCAGACCTTTTAAGCAATCTTGATCTTTTCCTAAAAAATCTATACAAATACACCCAATATTGAGATACCTTACCTTGTGAAATCATTATATAACATCTCAGTTTGGAAATGACCATAGATGTTCAGCCTCCTTTTGGGAATTGTCATCCTTTATACAATAGCAACCTATGGAGCCCACTGAATTTTCTGGAAGCTGTTCAATTTAAGGTCCTTATGTGAAGCATAAACCTGCCTCATAGTAACTGCTACCCAGTGGTGCTGTATCTCTTGAATTGCTGTTGTACAGAAACATTCTTATTTCTCTTCCAAAAATCAATGCTTCAGATGTCAGTTGTACTTTAAATAATTTTATTTCTTGGATAAACACATTATTTGTTTTAATCATTCCTCATGACCTAGCTTTAGAATTACTTCACTATGTGATTACTTTCTGCCACATGTTTTCAGGACGGCTAGTGTTTTCTTCAGGTACAATATAAGTATTTGCCTACTGCAAGATGTCAGATTGTTCTAATCTAGATATATTTCTATTTCTAAGATCATACTAGTTCTTATGTATATTTTTATTTGGAGTGGTCAGAATCAAGCATGCTAATAACAGCCTTTGACCATGCCTTATTGAACTTGCCATTTTAAAAAATTTGTTAAACTTTTTAACATTGTAACTATTAAACTGTGTCTCCTTTTTGTCTATATTTGTGCCGTTCAACTTTTTGGCCTCAGTTGTAGGTATACTTATGCCTGTTTAGACTTCATCTTATTCATCTGGCCTATTATCCCAACCTGTTGAGGTATAATTGTGATTACTGATTCTGTTTACCATCATGCTAGTTATATCTTTCAGTTTCAAGTCATACTTAAGATCTATGTATATACTTACTAATGCATTCTTAAATCAAACAGGTCAGAATCTTAATTTTGACTCCATTACTAATTTCTTGGATGTCATGAGGCAGAATTCCTAATAATGATGTGAACATATAATTCTGTTGTATAATCAAATGTACCAGCTTTGTAATATTTTTGGAAATTTAAAGTATTAGTTATTTTGATATAACAATCAGTGCTTGTTGAACCACCTTTTATGTACATCTTTGTATACATCTATAAATGTTTCCATAGGATGAATTCCTGAAAGAAGAATTATAGTCAGAAGACATGAAAGTTAATTTTCTGTTATACTAACATGCAAAAAGCATTCTTATTCATACATCAAACAAAAAAGTTTCTCTGATCTGCTCTTCTGTGGGTGTGAGGCACTCTTCTAAGCACTGTGTAAGGTTTTATTAATTTTTATTAGCAATCTAAGGTGGATTCACTTCCCTATACACTGGCTGTCTTCATTATTCTCAAAAAGATAATCATAAATGCCGAGTAGTTTTTCTGGTGTGAGAAACTGAAAGTGTAAATGAGGATCAAAATGTATAATAGATAATGTGAAATAGGAAGAAAATGTCCAAAGGGGAAAGGGAGGGGGAAAAGGTGGAGTAGGAGAAAGGGAAAAATATGAGAAAAGGAAAAAACCGAAACAAAGTATAAATAGGAAAGGGTGGAGGGGTTGAAGGGAAGGCGGGGAATGGAGAAAAAATAAGACCCAAGATATATCACATAAGGTACAAATTCCCAATGATGAATGTCTCATATTGTATACATAAAATGTACCAATAAGTTTAATGAATTAAAATAAATAAATAAATAAATAACAAAATAAACTTTCTTTGACACTCCCATATTTGGGTAGCTCAAAAAGCTAAATAATATGATAAGGAGCTGGCATTTGTCCCTAATAGCTAAGTTCACATGTTTCTGTATTGTAAAATAAAGTAGTACATTTTACTATCATATGGGATATATGGGATTCCTTGATATTTATTTTATTCCTCGGTACATTTAATTTGAATTTACTTAGTAAACAAAGTTGGTTCCCAACTCTTCTGGGGACTGTTCACAAAGTCAAGATCAAATCTTGAAGAATTTAGAATTTCTAAAGTGATAGTGTTATGATTTACATGGCAGCATCTCCAGGTACTTCTGTTGTGTAAAATGAACTGTACCTCTGTTTAAACCTATTTATAATAAAACCTCTACTAAACTAGAATACTTTTTGAATGATGTGTTCTGGTTATCTGAGTCTTGATAAGCTGATAGAGAACACTATAAAATACTTTTTAAAGTCCCCACTTATTAAACATTTTAAAAAAGTATTTCTATGAACCTGACTTATTAAGTATCATCTAGTGGGTATGATTAATTCTCCCTTTAACAGAAAACTGTGGAGGGCCATGAGGTAATCATTTTTTTTTAAACCCTGAAGCTTACAGTATGCAGATTAGTAAATTGACCGGTAATTGGGGTACATATATACATCCAGCCATAAACACTTCTGAGCATTTCTTTGTTAAATCTCTCTGGGCATACTTTCTTGGCATTTGATTGTTTTCACCAAGAAATTAGTGTGATTTTATAGTTTACTGAATCTAATCATAATTTTTTTCCATTAAATTTATTGGTATATTTTAGGTATATATTACAGTTACATTCATCATTGGGATCTTCTCAATGTAGACATCTTTTGCTGCCTTTGTTAGATTCATTCCTAGATATTTCATTTTTTTGGATGCTATTATGTAAGGAATTATTTCCCTGATTTCTCTCTTAATCTAATCATAATTTCTAACTGGGTATAAATGGTATTAATACAGTAAGTGCTATTTAGGCCCAAGGCCTCCAGTCCATAGTGTGAATGTTCTCTTAGTGGAGACTATAGCCACATCTTACTACCCTCCTATGGTTGATCCTTAAAATTCTCCCAGTAAAACTGAAGTCATTTTATCACAAACCTTTTTTTTTTTTTTTTTTTTTTTTGGTACTGGGGCTCAAACTTGGGTCCTTGTGCTTGTGAGGCAGGCGCTGTAACCACTGAGCCAAATCCCCAGCAGTCACAAACTTTTTAACTGTGTTTGAATGCCCATGCACAAGTAGGAAAACACTGGTACTGACCCCTTTGAGAGTCCAATGAAATTTATGTGCTCTTCTTAAGCAAATGTATATACAAAATTTTACATATGAAAGGCCACAGATAATAAACTGTTAATCCTATGTATACTGGGGAATAAATTAAGAGTTGGCAGATTGCAATGGGGATAGATGAAAGAATAGGAACATAGTGATGCAGAGTTTGGAATTGGAGAGTTTAAAGAATAAAGGCCGGGGATTTAGCTCAGCAGTTCAGTGGCCTGCCTTGCAAGCCAAAGGACCCAAGTTCAATCCCCGGTACAAAAAAAATAGAATAGATAGGTTGGGGGCATAATGGACAAGTAAGTAATTTTTCTCACTCTTAATACCAGTACATCTAAATATAGGCTGCATTTCTAGGGATAAGGGAAACATTCCTAACCACAGTGCATCTAGTTTTTATATGTAAAATATTCCTTTATTGTAAAGTATGCATTTCTGACCTTCCTACTTACCTGTATCTGCCAGATTGGTGAATTTACATTCAAGCATTTGTCCAGAAAGAAACACTAATTCTTTAATATTGGTGTGAATAGCAAAGAGTAATCTTAACAGTAAAATGAAACTTGTTCAGCCAACTCCTAGAATAGATTTTGAATTAAAAAAATTTTAGATTGACATAAAGTTATATTTATCTTTAACAACATGTTTTGAAGTATATATACATTGTGGAATCACTAAATCTAGCTTGTTAATCTATATATTATTTCACATAGTTATCATTTTGAGGGTAAGAATGCTTCATACACTCAACATTTTTCAAGAATACAATATATTATTACTATTATTTCTTATTCTTCAAATCCCAAACTATCAACCATCTAGTTTCCTTGCTGCTGATTTGTAAACTTGATTCTTCTACCCAATTACATCTTCACCAGACTCAGTAGAAAAGTACTACACTTTGAAAAAGATTTTTTTTCACTTTTTAAAAGTAAGTAAGTTAGATTTAGTTTTTTCTAGTTATGTTTGTATTTATTTCTATTAAATATTGACTAGATGCCAAAGGGTATTTATTCAATATATGAAAGGTATAAATAACAATAATATAATGAGCAACCATGTACCTGTCATCCAGTTTGAAAGGAAATCAAAACAGAATTCTGTTTTCCATCCTGTTCTATTCAGAGTTAATCACTACTCTGAGACTTTAGTATTTTCTTCCTTTGTTTTATAATTTTACCTTAAATGTTATATTGCTGACAAATTTGAATGCTTTTGTTTTTGCAAGTTTTTGAACTATATATTTTTGGAAACTTAATGTATATTCAATTTTCTTTGTCTTAACCTTTTACACTTAATATTGTATTCCTGAATTGACAGTTTTTCTGTCTATAATTTTATATTTTTTTCTATTTGCAATATTATGTTGTATATGGGTATATCCAAGTTTAGTTATTTATTCATTATGAATACTTGGATTGTTTCCAGATTGTAAAAATTGCAGTTTTGGTATTGAATGTTTTTTTATGTAGTTCTAGATGCACCAATACTGTCATTTCCTCTAAAGATACCTAGGAGTAGAATTACCCAGTCATACTATGTGATGTCTTGCTTACTTTTCTCATTCTTGAGACAGAACAGCCGACACCCAGAGTTCAAGGAGGAGTGGTTCATTTTGGCTCTCAGTTTGAAGTGTCAGTCCATAATTGGCTGGCTCCTAGGCAGGGTGGCAAGCAAAAGGCAGCAAAGCAACAAGCAGCAAGAGATAAGCAATGACAACAGCAGGCTTCTTTCTGTCCCTTATATGCTGTCCCTAGGGTAGCATCTCACACCCACAGTGCAACACACTTAATCCTAGCATTGCACCCTGAATCCATCCCAGCATCACACCCTTGATCCCAGCATCACACATTTTAGATCCAGCCACCTCCCTAAAGCTCCACTTGTAACCACATGACACTTTGGGGGGAACATCTAAATACAAACCAGAACAGTTTGCATCACTTACTTGCCTCTTAATCTTTCTAATAAGCTTATTGCGTAACCTCTGTATTTACAATGGATTTTAAGTTTATTATTAGTATTAATTGTTTTTTTGTTTTTGTTTTTGTTTTGATACCAGGGATCAAACTCTGGTCCTTATGCTTTCCAGGCAGGTGGTGGAACCATCGAGCTAAATCCCTGGCCCCAATATTAATTGTTTTAAGGGGGAAGGTTGATGAAGATTCTTGTACCACACTGCTGGAAAAGGCAGTCTAGCTATTTTGTTTTTGATATGAATTTTTATTTTGCCTGTAGCTCCCCATATATACTGTGCCACCTCTTCAGTCTAAATATGTTGAAGAGCAGCCTGGTTATTTACAAACGGGCTTCGCATCCATCCGCACTACAACTGGTTATTACATTGGCTGGTGCAAGGTAAGTGTATTCTGATAGTGGCTTAATATCAAAGGTTTCTGTTTGTTCCAGTTATCTTTTGATATATAAAAACTACCATAAAGCTTATTGGTTTAAAACAGCATCATTATATTTTGCCTTACTATTTTATGGATCAAGAATTTGAACAGAGTTCAGACAGCTGATTTTTCTGTTTCATGTGGTATTGACAGAGGTCACTCAGTGATAATCATCTGGCAAATGTGGTGATTTAGAAAGTTCAAACTTCATTATGTCTCTGGCACCTTTGCAAGGATAAATGAAAGGCTGAGCTCAGCTGGTATTGTTGACTGAAGGATCTACACATGCTCTCTCAAGCATGATGACCTCAGGTAGATTATTTACATGGGCAGTTCAGGACTCCTAAAAACAAAGTTATAAGACTTTATGTAGAATTTTCTAAGCGTTTACTTATCCTCAGATGTTCAAGAAAGTTACTTCTGCAGCATTCTTGTAGAAAATCAAATCCCACAACCCAACCCAATTTTAAAGGGAGAATGAGATGCCACCTCTCAATAGGAGCAATAGCAAAGAATCTGTACCCATATTTAATCTATTATACCATTATTGCATAGAGTAAAGTAGTTTAGCAAGCATTTGTGTTACCTAGCATGTACAGTGATACCTCGATTCGCAAACTTAATTTGTTCCACAATTCTGAGGAAGATGGTTGTCTTTGTGTTAATGGTAGAGGATGGCCACAGTTGTGATCTTCACCCGATGTGGGCATTCTAGAGTGTAAGCAAATTTTTGTCTAAGGCTTCTGTTTGTGAACTGAATTGTTTGTAAACAGAACCATTCATAAATCAAGGCATTACTCTGAACAATATATTTTTCCCTTCTATATGAAGTTCTGAGATTACTCATGAATTTTTCCTTACTTCTCTAAGCAAAATGTTCACTTGTTGAGATTAGATCACTTGTTGAGATTAGATCATAAGACCATTCTAACTAGAGGCAATTATTAGGCAAAGTAAAATTCACTAGACTTTTGCTTAGCTTTCAGGCAGCAATATCCAGTAGCAGAGTAATGGAGTGAGCTAATGTAATAACCACGTTTCATTATCATCACATAAGCATAGATGTGTTACTATCAACATCTCAAAAGTTATTATCTTAAGGTAGCATGGTAATATTTGCTACTACTATTTTTTTCTTTTTTGAGACAGGATCTTGCCTATTTAGTTCAGGCTTGCCTCAATCTCATAGAGATCCTCCAGCCTCAGCCTTCCGAGTGCTGGGATGACAGGTGTGTGCCACCACACTTGGCTATTTTCATCAGTCTTAGAATCATATGACTTTTCCACAATATAGTCTGTATTACTGTGAAATCTTGAGCTTTTTTAGTTTCTAATACCCTAATTTAAAAAAGAAAATTATAATGAGCTTACAAAAAAATGGCATCTTTAGGTGAAATACCAAATTAGTCAAGTCTGGTCATTCCAGATGACATTTTTAATAGCTGATCAATTCATGGTATTATTTTTTAGAATGTTTGATTGTCTTGTAATTCTAATGGTACTAACTGTACTCTACCCACTTAATACCTTCTTCTCTGAAGGAAATAAAATTATAGTCTAAACAATGCTGCAACATTTATACAACATAGACGTAAGTCTCCTGAGATCTAGTTTTCCGTAATGTTCTTAGAGCTCAATGTGTTTTCAATGAAATAAATTGTTTCTGAGAGATCTTTATATTGCTGATGTAACTCACCCATTTAAAAAAGAAAGAAAATATTATTCTATTAATACGCTGAAACAAGTTTGACAAAGACACTTTCAAATACGTTTCATTGTCAGTGTAAGCAACTTTTTCTCTAAAATGTAATCTGTTTTTTAAAATTTATGCCTAACACAAATTGCATTCTTTACGAAATCTAGAACCATGCAGGGCAATTTCAATTGGTGCTCTTACTCTTTAGATAGCAGTGCCCCCTAGTGGTAGAAATGAATTCCTAAATACGGGTAAGGATTATTCTCAGATTAGTGATTAAATGATTCCCAATCAATTATTCAGTGAATATTTTAATATTGAAGGTGAAGTTATCTCAAGACAGTTTTTCAAGAGAAGTAGCTTAGTGGCAGGCAGAGTCTATGCTGCTTCGAAACCAGGATGAACAATAAACCTACATTTCTGTTCTCCATTAAACTGAGACAAAATGAGTAGACCAAACTGTTGAGAAATAAGAAATAACTTATTTATTTCCTGTCTAATATAAGCATTTCTGTTTTTCTGCTTTGAAAATCTCTTTTTTTATTCTGTGGTTTCATAACATCTAGTTCAGAGAGGGAAACCATATATTTGGTTTATGTTTTCTGTTTCAATAGAATAAGCATGATTATGAATAAATCACTTCATGATCTTATTTTTCTTTTGGTAAGTTAGATAATACCTGTTAATATCTATAACAATATTTTCTTAAAATAGATGAGCTAAAAAGTTTAAAGGAAATATTTGTTTCAAAGTTTTAATCCCTTCAAAGGATAAATATCTTGATTTATGGAAATTTATGATTCTGTTTGAAAACGAGGTAGAAATTAGTTTGTGTGCAATGGTTTCTTTTTTCCATGGTACATTTTAGATATACAATACAGTAGAAATGATTTCTACCCTGAAATAAATGCCTTATTTGGATATTTTTCCATTCTAATGCACAATAAGAAAAAGGGAAAAGATGAAGCATTTTCCTTGTTTTGTCCTTTTTTTTCCATATATCATTATATTGTTGCTATTGCATTTCTGTGAATCAGAGTTTGCTTCTCTGATGACGTATACCTCCTTTTCATGCAGTTTAAATTCCATTTTGCTCCGTCATTATAAATCTTTTTATTTTTTCAGTATTTTTTCTGTGAGTCAATCAGTTTATTTTGTAAATATTATGAAGATAATAGTAAGCAAGTATTATTCATTTTAAACATAATGAAATGCAAACAGTGAAGAGAGGTTAAATTCAGCAATATCCTCATAATGAGTACATATGAAAGCTGGATTTAGATTTGAGTAATGCTGTCAACATTTTAATATAATTTCAAAGATGTAGGCTATTTTGTCTAATTTCCAATAGGTTCAATAATGCAGATGTCCTTTTTTTCCCTTTGTATTTTGCTTAGAGTACTTATGTCTTTGTGAAAAATGGGGTAATGGATACAGTACAATTTGGAAAGGGTAAGTGAGGGAACCATCTATAGTTAGAAATGTCTTATATTTTTAAATTACAATGCTTAAATGTGAGAAAAACATGGTATATTATCTATTGTCATGCTTTCACTGGCTTAGAAAATATTCTGTAGTTTGTTGATAATAATAATAAAACAGCGTTATTTGCCATGTATTTATTCATTATTGTATACTAAGGCATCATGTAAAGCACCTTATAAAATTTGTCTAATTTAGTTTTTGTCAGAATTATGTGAATGTTGGTATTATAATTACAGTAACTGTGTTCTACAGTTGAGGAAACTGAGGTTTGGTAAGGTTGAGAACGTTTGCCAATGGCACAGAGCTACCAAGGGACAGTGCCCAGATTTAAACTGAGGTCTCATACCTACAAAGGATTTTTGTCTAGGGTTACATCTCATTCTGATTATTGGTTTTACATTCTTTGTTTTTGTTTTGTTTGTTTGTGTTTGGTACTGGGGATCGAACTTGGGCCCTTGAGCTTGTGAGGCAGGTGGCGGAACCACTAAGCCAACGCCCTAGCCCCTAATTATTGGTTTTAACCAAGAGCAGTGGCTGCTTGGATGTAATTTGGTAATAGTTGCAAACAAGGACTAGTGGCAGATCTCCATAATAACATATCTATTCATTTCTTATTAAGTCATACTAATGTTTGAACAGAGAAGGGCAGAAGCATGTTCATTTTTGGATTATGATACATGCACATTCAGACATTTTATAATAATTCATATCAAATGTATCTTTTATATTTCATTAAAGAGCAATATTCACTTATATTATTAAGAAAATGAATATCATTAAATCAACTATGGAAGGGAGATTTTCTTTTTAATAAGTAATTATTATAACTCATTTTACATTGCTCATCATATTGTCATTTTGTATAGTTTTCAGTGTTTAAGCCATCTAATATCATATTGCCTACCATTAACAAGCTTTTTAACCTTTCTGCATTATGCTTACACAGAGTTCTCAATTATAGTTAGTCATTTATATTAATTTTTAACTGATTTTTTGAGATGCATATGTCTATCTGAAGAATCCTCCTCAAGATTTTCTTCAAAAGTTGGGAGTAATTACAGTTTCAGGATTGGCAGGCCTGGTTTCAGCAAGAAAAGGTAGGTTTTGAAAGTATATTTTCTCTTTCAGTGCCATTATGTTAATTTATAAATTGGAACTTATGAGAAAACCTTGTAGCATTTATTGAATAGTATCAGGATAAGCTCCTGTAAAATTTTTGAATTCTTTAGTATATAGTGTCTACTTTCATAAATATTTTGTAAAAAGTTTTTGACATCATTATTCATTAGGGAAATGTAGATGAAAACCACAGTGAGATAACATGGCACACCTATTAAAATGTCTACATTTTACAAGACTGGCCATATCATCTGTAGTCAATAGTGGAGAAGAATTGGAAATCTCACACACTGCTAGTGAAAGTGCAAAATGATATGGCCATTCTGAAAAAATGATTTGACAGTAACACATTTACTGTGTAACATAGTGATTTCATTTCTGGGTATAAACTATGGAGAAATGAAAAACCTCTCAAAATATTTATATTAGCTCTATTTATAATCATAAAAAAGTCAGATACCAATTGGATATTCTTCAATGAGTAAACTAAATTATGGCATGTCCATTCAAAGGAATACTATTTAGTTACAAAAAGTAATACTAAGCTATCGAAACATGATAATCTTGATAAATCGGAGTGAAAGAATCCTTGTATATATAATTCCATTTAGATGACATTAAAAACTGTACTAATAGAGAACAGATAATTTATTCTAGGAGTTAGGAGTTAGGGTGTGTTTTAATTAACCTAGACTCCATTTCCCCACACCACATTAAACAGCTTAAATCTAAAGGAAAGCTAAATTAGAGGTTGAATCAGCCTGTTTATCTATATCCCTCAAGCTGTATTTGACATGACTGTAAAAGTATCCCTTAATAATTGTTAAATCAGAGAAAGAATTTGTTTTTAACCTTCCCTAATCTGCAAAGTTGCCTGCAAACATAGCCAGGTATTTTTCACATATCAGATGGGCTGTTTTCTTTTAAAATTAGTGGTTTTAATAGGTGTTTGAGAGAATCAAAGAACTTACCTCAATGAAAAAAAAAAGCATCATCTAATTGTCCAGTCATATTTGTAGAGTCCAATATATTCAGATAAGCATTTAAGGTACACATTATTTTGTTTGTTTTTTCTCATTGAGTTTATTGGTACATTTTAGGTATACAGTACAGTTACATTCATCATTTGGATCCTGTACCTTTACATGACAGATCTTGGTTCTCATTTTTTCCCCTTGTCCCTGTCCTCCCTTCACCCCCCCTTCCCCTCCCCCTTTACAAACATTTCATTTCCATTTTTTCATTTTCTCATATTTTTTTTCATTTCCCTTATTACCTTTCCCTTACCCTTCCCACTTTCCCTACACCTTTAAGCCCTTTTCTTCCTATTTCATTATTTTGAAAGAAAAGTTTGGTGAAACTAAGCTTTAGGAGTCATAGAGTAATGAAGGTGAAACTACATAGACAAGGCTTGGTACTGAGTTTTCTGCCCCCAGATTAATCAGAGCAGCTTCATGTTTTTATATTTTATATGTTGAAGTTCCAGATAAGATTCTATTTGGAATGTTTTTTAAAAGCTTTTGCTCCACAAAAATATATGAAAATGAGAACAGAAATCAGGAGCTTGGATGCTGGAGGAAGTACTTGGCTAAACTCTAGCCCCAGAGTGTAGGCTTGCTGGTGGTAAAGCCCAAAGTTAGTGCTGGGATTAAAAGAATGTGCCATCATGCCTAGCCTGATTTTTTATTGTTTTAATCAAGGGCTAAATTCTTCCCATCTTGGACATAGGATGCGATCACCAACTAAAACTTTTGAAACACAAATTAAAAGTTGTTGGCAAGTTACAAAATTAAGGCATATCATTAATTATTAGAAAAGGTATGAAAATTACTTAGATACTTAGGCACTTTGTATAGCACTTTTTGAAATGCATTATGTTAAGTCATTTAAAATTATCATTTCATTATTCTAAATTAGCGACATGAATGAGTTATGAACCTTTTAAGTCTTTAGCTGATTAATTAGTTAGATCATTCACCTTCCTGAGTACTTAATCAAAGAAACATATAAAGAGTCAGTTTCACTTTAACAAACATGGTTGTTGATTCTCTGTATTTTGCTTTGTTCTGTACTTGAGAAAAATGCAGTTACAATTTTTAATTTCTTAGCACATAAATACCTAGCTTAAAAAAGAAAATTCTTTTGTGTAATTTTTCAGCAATAGTTTGAGTAACTTTGTTAAATTTGATAAGACAGCTAAGGGACATTGATTGAAGCGAGATAATTAAGGGCATTTTATAAACCATCTTGATTGGTATTTTTACATATAGCATACAGAGAGTCATGGCTTAAAGGGAGAACAAACAACATTACAGTATAGAAGCATCAAGTCTGTGCGGGCATCTACTTGTAGCTTAATATTGTTTTTGAATTTTATAGGTTCTAGGTTTAAGAAAATTGCTTATCCATTAGGACTGGCTACTTTAGGAGCAGCTGTTTGCTACCCAGCTCAGTCAGTAATAATTGCAAAGGTAAGTTTTTTTTGTAAGTGATAGCAACATTTCATTATTTGTTTAAACACTTTGTGCGACAATATTTAAATGTCACATAATACCTACAACATAGTAGTTGGTATCCACGCTTGTGTTTGCAAAATTACATCAGCATCTCAGCTATTCGTGCTAACATGATCATCACAAATAAATAGAATGAATTTGTTAAAATTAACAATATAAATATAGGCTTGAAGATTAAATTCAAACAACAAATTAGAAGCTATAGGAAGATACACAGCTCCATTGTTGAACTACATAAAGATCAATTTTAGAATATAGAATAGAAAAATATACCTGCTGGCAGTCATTTAGTTTAGAAGACTTACATAATGTAAGATACAACCAATTGATAGATTACAGAGCCTTCTGAAGGTTAAATAACATGTGTAGTCTCTCCCTCTCTCTCTCTCTCTCTCTCTCTCTCTCTCTCTCTCACACACACACACACACACACACACACACACACACACACACTGCATCTTGAAACCACCTGGAACAAAGAAGCACTTCCACAAATGCTTATTTACCACTCAACATTTGAAGTACTGTGTAGTGTTGTGAAGTATTTTCTGTAGTTGTGTTTTCATTACTGCCTCTTTTTAATTATTGATGAAGAGAAAAGTACCTATTCAATATTTTGAGACTGTTCAGGATATTATATATACTATGTAGTTTGTAATGTGATCAAGCTATAAAACTTGCAAAGAACATAATAAAATGATAAATTTATTTTTTAAATTCCTTAGGAATTTACATGGGAATTAAATTCATAAAATGTTGGTACTGAAAGAAATCTTTGAGTTCATTTCATTCCATGTCTATGTTTTCCACTTGCCAGTGAGGAAATAGTAGCCAAGAAAAGTTTCACAGTGACTGACTTCCAGCATCATACTCAGCTGTAGGTGTCCTGGTTCCCTCTTTTACTTTTCCCAGTGGATGCTCCTGCCACTAATTGTATTTTTATGTGGTAATTATTTTATGGTGTTTTTCATCCATTAATTTTTTTGGTATATTTTAGGTGCACAATATGCTGACGTTTATTATTGGGAATTTGTACTTTTACATGATATATTTTGGTTCTTATTTTTTTCCCCATTTCCCTGCCCTCCCTTCAACCCCTCTGGATCAAAATGTATTTTTTGTTTTGTTAATAAAATGATGATTACTTAACAAATAATAGCATTACAGAAAATTTCAAAAGAAAAATAACCACTCACAATGCTTCCATCCATAAAATACCAGTGTCAATATTTGACTGAATGTTCTTCTAGACCAGTGGTAGTGAACCTGTGGCCTTCATGCTGTAACAGGCTGTTTATATCATTTAGAGCTCTAAAAGATTCACCATTACTGTTTTAGACTCTATACATGGATACAAAGAAACAGAATATGCAGGTAACAGTGAAACTACCAGTTCCATCCTGAAGATCATCATAGTAAGTGAAATAAGCCAGACTCAGAATGATAAGTATCATGTTTTCTCTCAAGTTTGAAATCTAGAAATAGAGACAACATGAAAGTATAATAGAGATTATTAGAGAGGAGAAAGAAAATCAGGGAGAAAGGGGAGGTAGAGGGTAGCGGAGCTAGTGGAAAACACATCAGGGCTGGCAAGAGACAGCAGTGCTTTCAGGATCCTTGGTAGACACACACCAAGGAGTACACATACTCAGAAATTCGTGAGTAGGGAGGATAAAAACCCAACTAAGGGAAGGCAATTTGAAGTGGAGCAAAGCAAGAGACATTATAATCCTGGACTTCAAGATATACTATAAATCTGCAGTAGTAAAAGTGTAGTACTCACACACACACACACACATACATAAGACATTGACCCATGCAATAGAATAGAGGATGCAGAAACAACCCCAAGCACCTTAAAAAATATTGCTGGAAAAGCTGATTAGCCATGTGCAGTACTGTGGTAAATCAATGTCTCTCACTCTGTACTAAAATGAAATAAAGTTGGATTAATGACCTACATATAAAAACAGATACACTGAATTTGCAGGAAAAACTGGTGAAATTCCTGAAGACATAAGTATAGCCAAGGACATCCTGAACAGAACACCAGTTTCACAAAACACAACCCCAAGAATCAATACATAGGGTCAGGGATTTAGCTCAGTGGTGCTGCTGCCTTCCTCACAAGTGCAAGGTCCTGAGTTAGAACCCTGGTTAAAAAAAAGAATCAATAAATAGGATCATATCAAATTAAAGAACTTCTGTACAGTAAAGGAAGCAACAGTGATGAGACAACCTACAGAATTGGAAAAAAATGTCAGCTATTCCTTAGAAGAGTGATATCTAAAATACATAACTAAAAAAATAGATTCCCCCAAAAGAAAAGATTAAACCAAAAATATGAAATGGCAATGAATAGACAATCAAAAAAGTACAAATAACCAGTGAGTACATTAAGAAATGTTCAGTATCTTTAGCCATTGGAGAAGTGCAACTTAGAAGACTGAGGTTCCATCTTACTCCATCAAGAATGGATATTATCAAGAACTCAAAAAAAAAAAAACAATGCAGGTAAGATTGTGGGGAAAAAAGAATCATTCCATATTGTTAGTGAGAAAGTAAATGTGTGGAATCACAATAGAAATTGGTATTAAGATTATTCAAAAATTCTAAAATAGAGTTGCATTTGACCCAGCTGTATCTCTTCTGGATATCTTCCCAAAAGTTTTAAAATCATCACATTACAGTGATACATATACATGTTCTTGTATTTATGGCAGTACAATTCACGATAGATAAATTATGGTTGATTCTTATATGCCTATCATCAGTTAAGTAAATAGAGAGTATATGGTATATATTCATTAATGGAGTACTAGTAGAGTAGAAAGAAAAATTTGAGTCATTTGTAGGAAAATGGATGGACCTTGAAATCCTAATTTTGTGTGATATAAGTCAGCCATAGGAGATTACATTTCACATGGTTCTTCTAATATGAGAAACCCCCAAAGTAAAAATTTAAAGAGTAAAATAATAGAGAAATAGTAGTAAGCAAGGAGATAGATTTTGGAGGTATGATGGGGATCAGAGGAAGTGGAGAATCAGAGGGCAGGGAAAAAAGTGGGAGTAAAAATGACCAAGATACAATGTATATGTGTGGCAACTCCCCAAGATTAATGTAATTATGTTTTGCAAACATACTAATGGAATTTTAGTGGGTATATGAGAGTGATCAAACATGTTATATGTGTGTAAAAATATGCCAATTTAAAACCCACTTTCTGTATTAATATGAGCAATGAAGAATATATAAAAAGTGATATAGTTTTTTATTTTTAAAAGTAACTAAATTTAACTTTATTTTACTAAAAGGAAAAAGAATTGGTAAGCATCTAATAAAAATTTCTGTAGTACAAAATACAGTGGTAATCCTAAAAGTCTTATCAAGTAAATAATATTGCTTTAATTCCAAGAATTGAAACCTTTGCTTTTCCCTGTGACTATAACAGTGTTATATGTCATATTTGGCATATTTGAATATGTTATATAGATTCAGGAGGGTGAAACGAGACCAGGTAAAAAAAAAACTGCAGGTGATTCTAAGGCAAGCTAATGATGATCAGCTAGAGAAGACAATGAAAGATAAACAGGAGCTAGGAGACTTCATCAAGAAGAGCACTGAGGACTTCAGCCATCAGATCTCTGCCCTTGTCCTGAAAGCCCAAGCTTCCAAGATCTTACTTGAAGAGTTACAACACAGTTTTTCCCAGGCAAAGAGGGATATTCAGGAACAGATGGTGGTACTGATTAAGTCATGGGAACAGGTTTCAGAAGAGCTGGTATGGTTACAGAAAGACAGTGACAGCCTCCAGGGAAAACATAGCGTGCACTTATCATTACAGCAAGCAGACTTCATCCTCCCAGATACTATAGAGGTGCTCCAGGAGTTGGTATTAAAATACTGTGAGAACATCATTCATGTGAGGACATAAGAAGACCACATGGAAGAAAAGCTGAAGGCTGAAATACTTTTCCTATAAGAACAGATTCAAGCAGAACAGTTTTTAAAAGAAAACCTTGAAGAAACTCTGCAGCTAGTATCTTGTTTTTCCATCAATTTTGAAAGATAACTTTGCAGGGTACATCAATCTGGTTTGGAGTTTGTTATATTTAGAACTTGGAATACTTTGTTCCATGCTCTTTTTTTTTTTTCTGGGGATTGAACTCGGGTCCTTGAGCTTGCAAGGCAGGCCACTGAACCGTCCATGCTCTTCTTGACTTAACAGTTTATGTTTAGAAACCTGCTGTGATTTGTAGGGATTTTCTTTTACAGATGATTTGTTTCTTTTCTCTAACAGCTTTTAGTATTCAGTTTCTGTGTTTAATTTCTGGAATCCTGACTATTATATGCATTGGTGTTTTTACCTGATTGCAGATGGCTATTTAAGGTTCTATCTGCCTTACTTGTCTGTATCTCAAATTCTTTTTATGTGCTTTGAGAGTTTTCTGCTAGTGAAAACATTTGTTTTGTCCTTTATGCTATTTTCTGATTTTTTATTGATTCCAGTTAATCTTTCCTTTGTATCATCTGGCAGCTGTTAGATTGATTTTTCATGGTCCCTTGCTGTTTTTAAGAGGTATTTCATTTGATGACTGCCAGCTGCAGCCCTGTCTTCTGGATCTGATATTCTGACTTCACATTGGTTGACTCTGCTGCATATACATTGTATAAAATTTTTAATCTCCTGGATACCTGTTTAAATGTTTTATGGCATCCACTTCTTTGCTATTTTGGGCATTCATGATTTCCCTGTCTTCCCTGAGTTTCTCTGTTTTTTTATTTGTATGTACTCTAGTTTCATTAAGCATTTCCTTCATATGATCATCATCTCTTTACTTTTCTGTGTAATTATTTTTGTTTTAGCATTGTCAAAAGTTATTCATCTGTTTTGTTACTTCCACTATTACCATTTCAGAAAGTTCACCTTGGTGGATTTTGGTTTCCTTCACCT